TAGCGCTTACTGCCCACAGTGCCAAACTTAGCTCTTTGCATTTGTTCTTTGAACTCAAGACGTCCACCAGTCTTAAGCTCCCTGTAATGATCAATTAACCTTGTGTTCGACGCTAGAACCCCTGCCTCGTTGACTTTGGAAGAACTCGATCTAACCCTTAGATTAACTCGTCTACGCCTATTAACTGAGTGATACGCTCTATGCGCACTAATAATCTTAGTAGTAACCACTTTATTACTCACTTCGAAATAATAAAATAGATACGGTAGCAATGTCTGTACCTAATATATACTCCACAGGTAATAATAAGAAAACAAAACACAGTGTTATAAATGAAGTAGCACACAACAGCAGTATCTGCCAATGGGCACGTGAAAACAGCTTAAGTAGAAAAACTCATAAAGACTGTATCGGTGAATGTCAAATAAAACAAAGAAGAACACTCAGTGAAAATTTACTCCCTATTTATACACCTGTCCCCCTTTGTAGTGATCCGGTTTGCTGAGAGCTTCCCCTCGGGAAACATGCAGCACCCTATCACCTCATAATATACAGTTGTCATTTCGCGTATGGTCGCGACAACTAGTGATTCCAGTAAGCAATCTTTAAAATTGTCTAAAAATACTGTTCTAAAGTTATAAGCAATTTCAGGGTCGATGCACATAACAAAAGCATTGTGATATTTCCTTACATCAATAAAACTGCCCCATGTATTGTTTTAACAAAATTACATCCTCATTATATCTTATAAATTTTAAATGTATTTTAAAATGTAAGCATAATCCTCTTGGAACTCGCAAATAAGGATTACTTCTTTTGAAAAATCAAGATCTCTCCGCCAGACAGTATCCCATTAATTCCTCCATCAACAATTTTCGTTACTGTACCAGCCAAGAAAACTTTAAAAAATTCGCCAAAGCCCGTCGGCAGAATATGCAAGAATTCGCCAACCGATATCAGCCAAGCAATCAAAGCCGACCTGTAAGCTGTTGATTATAACATCCTTGTTGACCGTGCTTCTTCCTGCAGCCCTCAGGCCATAAATGAACACTACGAAAAAGTTTTTTGTGCAATAAAGTCAAAGACATTGCAGTTTCTAGAAAAAAAAACGACACCTTAAAAGCCACATAAAAAAAGTTGAGCTGGAGAAGCAATAATGGAAAGGATATCCTGTTTCCTTGTCAAGATTAATCTCATCTATAAGTCTGAAGCCACATTTTTCAGCTTCCTCTACCATTTCATTTCTGAAAAAGTTTACTACTTAATTTTTATATGTTTTTTTTTCTGCGTTTTTGGAATTCAAAACAAAAACTTGCTAAAATATTTCTGACTTTATTAGCTGTTCAAATGAGCAAATCACCAAAAACAGTAATTTAATAATACGAAATAAACTGGCCATTTAGCTACTAGAAAATTTAATTCACAGCTAACTGCCCATTATTGAAAACATTACCAAATCTCTTCCCTAATTTTTCAGCTGACTCTTCTAAACAGATCTTTAGTAGGATTAATAAATTATTAAGCACTACTCTTCCTTATTTAAAAGAGAACTTGTTTAAAAAACAAAATTTCTAAGCAGTTAAAATTAGAGTTTAAGTTTCAAAATGGCCATGTTAAATTTGAAACAAAATGGAACAACTACAGACTAGAGAAATGCTTAAAAATTTGTCTGGAACAGCAGCATTAAAGAAATTACCTAGAATGCAATGATGGCATCCCGCAAGCATACTCCAGACCCTCAACAATTTCTCGATGCTGAGCGTTGTTTGGATCGTAATTTTCAGTTTTTATCAGATCATAAACTGCAAAAAGTCCGTCAGACCTAAGTACCCGACTAACTTCGGAAAATACGGGATTCAATTTCACAAAGTATTTCAGAGAATATATCTGAAATAAACGACTATTGCATGACTTCTAAACAGGGTTCAGTCAACTTATTTTTTTATGAGTTGCAGCAGTACGTTCTGGGGTCTTTTAAATGAGTATTTCTTCATATGTCTAAATTAACATTTTATTAGCCTCCTGAACAAGAGAAAAATGGTTTTTTTTCAACAACTTAATTTCTCTGAAAAATATTATAAGTGCTATACCTAGTAGCACTTTTATGTTACTTTCCATAGCTTTACGCTTCAGAAGTTTAGTCATAATTCTTAACTCACAGCATAAGCAGCATCGTAACTTCCGTCAGTCAGTGGAATTTGATGACAGTCGCCTTCTATTATATAGCAGTTTTTGATTCCTTCCTTTTCAAAAATTTTGTTGCCAATTAAAACCTCATTAGCAGCGATTGTAATACCAGTTATTTTGGCATCGGTGTAAGCCAAATCCTTCATTACACCGCCAATCCCACAGCCGATATCAAGACACTTTGTGCCTGTATAAAATAGGTTAAATAAAGACACCACTTGAAAACAAGACTACTGATGCAAATGTCATTTTAAAAATTTAGAAAAAAATGAAAGAAAATGAGAAATCCAATAACCGTTCTGCAATTTCAAACTTCTTGCAATCCTAACATGGAGCCATTTCAACGCTTCTTCAAGAGTTTGTCGATTATTTTGAGGAGGAACAAAGTGAAAGTTACCGTTAAAATATTCCTCAATAATTGCTGACATTACCGAATAATAATGTGAGATAACAGCCGCATGATTGGTGGTTTTTTTGGCTTCCAAATATAACTTGTCATGTTCTTCCTTATAATTTTTCTATAAAGACGTAAAACTAAATTTTCCAAGAAAAAAATTGGTCGCATAAATTGGAACTTACCTAACGTTCAAGTACCTCACTCATTCTTCTATACCGCCCCTTTTCTTTACTGTTTTCCCCAACTTCTGTATAGGTTTTTAGTCATTCATATTAATTTTTGCTGTTATTACCTGTTTTAGTCATTGAAAAAACACCTCACTTGTCGCTTTCTTGCTAATAACCAACCTTAATAATGCTTTTTTTTTTAAATTTATGGCTGATTCTGCCACAAAAGGAAAAAGCAGTTTAACAGGTTGAATTCAGCAGTATATCAAAACTTGAGGATTTCTTTGGAAATCAAGTGTTGAGCAATACAGTAATCACTGTGCAGCACTAACCGAAGACCTTGTAGTGTTAATATAAATCGCCGGTTAAATGAAAACAGTGAAAATCACTCCCTTCAACAGAGAATAAACATTTAACTGCCGCCTATTAAACTGATAAAAATTTTAAACAATCATTACCAAATACAGTTGCGAGCTTTCTTTCAGCCAATCTCTATCGCTGCCAATGACATTATTATTTACCAAATACCAACTGACCCTCTTCTATACAAAGGCCGCAATCACAACACTTGTCTTTTCCCCAAAACCCAATCTACTTCCGAAACGTAGGCAAAACTTGATCGTTCAAAAAAACTTCATAAATTCAATGTTCTAGCCACTCTCCGTCTAAAGCTATACAGTCTTATAACTTCTAATAGACATTGCTTTATCCAAAATACGCCATTTTACTGACTGCAGTAGAAAACAATACCTAACCCATTCCACTCCCATTTTCCTTCTACGGCAATAATTCGCCTCTGTTCTCCCAAACTAGAAAGAACTGTAATTGTTCCTCCATCCCCGTCCCAAACATAAACAAAACAAAAATTTCCTACATTCTCAGTCTTTGCCAAGTAACAAGTGCATACTCAACGAAAAACAGAAGTTACAACCAAGTTTAGGAAATTGATCAACAATAATTCTGCAACCTTCTTTGTACCATCTAAGCAGAAATGCCCCACTTGAGCGATGACACCCACTTACAGAACTCGCCTCCCTCACCATTAATGTTCGTTGCAACTCGCCATCAAATTCAAAAAACACTTCAAACAGCCGGCGGTCATAACTTTATTAACAAATACTTCTATTTTTTGCAAAAAGGCTGACCTTATGATATCAAAATCACACCAACATACATTCCCCTCATAAAGATACAAGTTTCAAAGAATAAAGCTTCAAAGAGTCAGTTTTAATTCCCAAAAATGATACGCCAAAAATTGAATTCGTTTTTCAACGTTAGCAAGTGGAATAAGAATGTCGAATTGTCGAACAAGACGAAAACGGAAAGAAATTTTAAAGCTAAGCAGCGAAGTAAAAGCACGAACAGACCTGAGCAGACGACAGTCGAAAAGTAAAATGCAAAAAAACCTGTTCACTGCACAATTTTGGGGCATAAATACAGCAATGAAAATCAAGAAGCCACTTATGCCACTGCGAGATTATGAAGAAAATTATAGCGCTTATTAAAACAGGAAGAGATTACAAGAGAAAACTCATAACACTTAAAGAAGTAACGGATTTACAAGGTAAAGCCTAACGAACAGTTGAAAGTAGAAAAAAGTAGATTATAATTGTGAAACAAGCAAAAATAGGAATATTATATTAACCAAATTACG